ATAAAGCTGGCTATGTGTTTCTGTTTCCCTCAGGCACAAATAGCATCTGTTGACCATCTGAATTCTGAAACTTCCACTTTGCTAGGTTCTCTTGTGTCAAACATGCTTCATGCATGGCAGTCCAACTGATGCAACTTATCTTGGGGGGAATTTGCTCTTTCAAATAAGATTTCATGGCCAACTCTCTGTGATTGTGCCCGGTGGACCTAGAAGTTTGTAGGTTGCCTTCACTAAGAATTTCTTTTTATCTGTAACTCCCCATTTGAATTGGTCTGGGCCTAGGGGTTGATGTTTCCATCGTGAAGTGCTGCTAGCAGATTTATCATTTCCACTCCCAGTCTTGTAGGTTCCTTCTGAGACGCATTTCCTTCTCTGTTCTGTGGTACTGTTGAGTCAGGTTCACTGCTATCTGAAAAATGTTGGGGAAATCAGACATTAAAGGAGAAATTTCAAGCCATTTATCTTTCCAAATATTGATTCTCTGGCCATTTCCTACTGCAAGATGGTGGAACGGTGAGAACTCTCCCCATTGCTTACTCATATACTTCCATACTCCAACCCCATACGGTTCAGTTAAACAGCTTTGATCTCCAGTGATTCAGTGCTCCATGCTTGGTAATTATAATTTCCTTCCAAAAGCTTTGCTCCTCCCGTGTGCATCTCCATAGCCACTTCATCAGGAGACACTTGTTATGCAAGGCTAAATTTTGTATGCATAAGCCCCCTTGCCTCTTAGGCAGTATGTCTTTGTCCCTCTTGACTAGGTGAAATTTGTGCTTATTGTTGTTTCCTTCCCAAAGGAAATCCCTTCTTATTCTGTCAAGTTTTTCCAAGACCTTGCCAGGAATGGGGTGGAGAGACATATTATAAGTTGGAATTCTATCTAGCACCTGCTGATCATAGTAAATCTTCCTCCCATAGATAAATACTGGATTTACCAAGAAGCCAACTCTAGATACGTTGTTGCTTTGAACTTAGCTCCAAGAGGAATTCCTAAATAGGTGGTTGAAAGTGCTGCAATGCTACACCCAAGGATGTCTCACAGCTCTAAAGGAATCACTCCATTTTGGTGAAATAAGAAATCTGTCTATTCTTGAAGCTTGTTAGGAATTGAAATCGATGAGATTGAATCTCCAATTGTTCCTCCGTAGCTCAGTGGTAGAGCGGTTGGCTCCTGCTAATACATCCCACATCTCCTCCCTTTGCGGATTTGTGTGAGGACCATAGAAGCTAGTAAAGTACCATCTGAAGTTCTCATTAGAACATTCCAGTATAGAAGAAATAGAATGACAACCTAGCAAAGTATCCACCTTAACCCATTTCATTTTGTTCCAGATCACAAGAATACCCCCCCAAGTGCCTGATGCTTTAAGCTCCACCCAATACGCCCATCTATTGCTCCACAACTGTTGGATTAATAAGCCTGAACATTCTTCAATTTTGGTTTCCTGTTGCAAAAAAAGGATATCAACTCTCCACTTTGGAATGAGAGATTTGATTGTGCATCTCTTCCTCTCCTCATTCTGCCCCTTTACATTCCAACTCAAGATTTTTAAGTTCATCCAGACAATGAGTTGTACTGCCTACCCTTGACTCCATTCGATTGTTGCCTGCTTCTATCATAATTGATCCCACATGTTAGTCTCTTTTCTTCCCCTTCCCCTTTGTTCTTCTTCTCTTTCCCTAACCTCTACTGCTTGGATTCATGTTGTTCTATTTGAATTTGCCTTCTTTACTCCATTCTAAGAACTAAATCCAAGAGGTCATGTTCGAATCTTGTTGCATTAACACCAAACGCTTTACAAGACTTCAACATGGTGATTTTCGTCCACTTTGATGTGTCAATGGTATTAGGCTTGTCTATAACCTGGGGACAAGTACCCTCCTTTATACCATGTTAAAGAGGTTAAAGGGAGAGCATCGCACACTCCGTTTGAGTCTGTATCTGAGCTGGAAACAAAGATTAAGTCCATGCATGGGAGTCACAGAGGTCTTTGTATTCTTCCTTCTTGATAGCCTTCATCATCAGCGTCTGAGGGTGAATTTCTGAGGAAAGAATCGGCGATTGTTTTTGCATGACGTTGCTGTGGATTTTTCAGTCCTGTGTCTCTTGTATCTCAGATGCCTGCGCATTAAATTTGTTTGTGCTTGGGCTGGACTTTACTTTTCAAATTGTCTTTTGAAGTAAGAGACTGACCTCCTTTGAGACTTTTGCTTTGCCTTTTCTCCTTCTTGGGCCTTAAAAATAGCACTCTTTATCAGCCTCTAGGCCCAAGACTGGCCCACCTCCATTGTCCATTCTTACTAATTATCTGCTTTACCCTTGCCCTTTTATCTGCTGGACAAAGCTGTGCTTCTGCTTTCAATTTAAAGCTGCCAACTTGTCCTTCCTCTAATGATGCGTTCTCTGATGTGTCATCCACTTCGGACGTCTAACCTTTCTTGCCGGCATTGTTTCTTCCGGCTAGCCTGATTTTTGTGTGCAAATCTTCTAGAATCATGATTTCATACCCCCCATCTCTCTTAGAATCTCTAATTGCCTCAGAATTTCTTGTATGTTGTTCCCAACACAAATTCGAGCCCAATAAAGATAGGTTCAAAGTTGTGTCTTCGTCTATTCCGATAAATCCTCCACATTTATCTCTGATAAAACTTAAAGTTTCGAACGACAAGGCATGGATTGGGACTCCTAAGGCTCGTATCCATTCGTTCTCCGATTTCTGCACCATTAAGGTGGATCCAGCCACCGGCGACCACCATTCCAGTGTCAATATTCTCCCTACCTAAACCATTCACCGGCTTTTACCCTTGCTGCTTCAATCTGAGAGGGGAGCTCAAATTAAAATTGGTTGTTCTAAATGGGGGTGACTTTGAGCCCTACAGTGACTTGCCATTTCCCAATGAACCAATCCTGAATGACATCCTTTTTAGGGCAAATGTTTGAAAGATAATTCTCTATGTTCCTAGCCCCTATCTCAGTATTGGCTATGCTTGGCAGTTTGATAATCTTGCGGCCTCCTTAAAGGATCTCGACTTATCAGCATAAAGATGGAACCTTGGGTTTGGGCAAGAACCCAAAAAATTCTGAATCTTCACTGTTGTGTCGCTGCACCCTTTGTTATAGATTCCTTTTGGTATGATGACTGCATCCTTTATATCCCTTTCTATTCTCACGAATCGACCTTAACTATTGAAATTTTGAATGACTCTGAAAGTGTAGGCTTGGACTTGTCTTCCCCACCTTCTGCACTTGTTGCCATATTGTAAAGAAGCATGTTTCAAGGCTTTGCAGATCACTTGGGGATTATTGCCATCGATTTTGATGCTGCTAGTGAACCTTCTACTACTTCTGTTAAAAGGAACCATCTTTTAACTAAAATGCTTAAATTGAAAAACTTCCTCTCGTGCTAAAAGAGAATCCCCAATCCATGACTTAGGGCAAAGTAGGAATTCCATCGGTAAAGCACTCACCGGAGTTACGAACTGAGAAAGAAAAAAAGAGAGGACACGAGAGAGAGAAAGGTGTGTTTCCCACAAGAGAGAGCATTTTTTTTATATTTGCACATCTCCTCTTCACATGCCCAAACCATATCAACCTCGCTTTCCTCATCTTATCCACCACAGTGGCCACTCCCACCTTGTCCCATATATCCTCATTCCTAATCTTAACGCTCGTAGTATGCCCACATCTATCTCAGCATCCTCATTTCTGCAACTTGCATCTTCTAAACATGAGAGTTCTTGACTTGCCAAAACTCCGCGTCGTACTACAAAGTCGATCTAACCACTACTCTGTAGAACGTTTTTTGAACTCCACATGATTGAAAAAAAAAATACTCCCTCCATCCCATTTTATGTGGCACACTTTTCTCTTGAGTCCGTCCCAAAAAGAATGTCACTTTACTATAATTAGAAAGGATTTTATCTTTAAAATTTCCTCTTTTACCCTTAATGAAATGATTACTCCACATAAATATCTAAGGATTGTTTTAGACAACAAGTTTAAAAGTCTTCTTTTTTCTTTAATATCATGCCAAGTCAAATGGTGCCACATAAAATGGGATGTAGGGAGTATCTATTTGTACAAAACTTTTTCTCCTTTGATAAGTTAACATGGATTTGATCCCAACTAGTTTGGGATTGAGGAGTTGTTACTGTTATATAAGTTGGCATGGAAAAGAGAACATGATGGAAAATAACAATGTTAAGAGTCCAAGTATTAAGGAAGTAATTCCAGGTATTTTACGTAGATAAAAGTAAAAGGCAAATTGGCCACAACAGTTTAGTTTCGCTGACAAATAGGAAAGCCAATCTTAAAAACTGAAGCCTGTAAATTAGCAAATTACATAGAATATGATGATTTAGAAGTTCATGTGGTACACAGCAAATACCGTAGAGTATGATGATTTAGAAGTTCATGTACTAAACAGGGTCAGGAGAGATTCTAAAGCTGGAGTTAGGCAGAAATGTATAGTTTATTTAGACTACAACATTGTGTGAATGTATGTGTGTGTGATTTTTGTTCTCTAAGCCAAAACCAAAACCAAATTCTGGACGGTTTTCCAAAATTAAAAACCATGTCACCTAACATAACGGAAAAATCAGTAGAAACTGTAGGCATGGTTAATTTACTTAACATCAGCTTCTGTTTTGTTTACTTTAATTCTTGTATTTTTTCGAATAACTATAAGGTCCAATAAACTCTCTATCTTGGTACTTAAACCATTTTTGTGTTAATTTCAGGCATCTTCTTATGATGCCTTCATTTGAAAAACTGATATATTATTTCTTAGTGCTCTTCTGCAGCTGGTTACCCCACCCCACACACACACACAATGTGTAGCAGATCTAAACTTCTGCATTCTTTCAAAGTGTCTCTATTTTGGGTTGGGAGAATCCCACAGCCTCTTGATTTATGAAGATTCTAGTATTCAAGTCTCTTTGGCATAGTTTATTGCCTTTTACTGTACTGATGCTTCATGATAATATATATTCTGCAGGTTATCTTTATAATCACCAAACAAAGGAGTTCTATAATCTTACTTATGCACATGAGCAACCTGAAAGTTCTGCGAGATTTGGAGGTTTATCCTTCTTTCCTATTCTCTTCCAAGTCTAATGTCATGTGTTTATATTGTGGGCTACTGCATCCTTTACTGAATTCGATTGAACTTTATTGTGAAAATTGGATGTTCCTTTTCCTTATACTCATCTCAAGGTTGTTTCACCCTGAATAACAGCAGGGTATGGCATCTAGTGACTTTGAACAATGGGGTTTTCTGTAGTTTGTTAGCGGAGTGTTGAATTTTGATCTTAGCTAGGTAACTCACAGATGCACAGAATTGTATTTCTTGAAAGTTAGATGCTGCTTCTCTTCTTTGTCAGAATTTAAAATTTGTGCAACAGTTATGTAACATTCCACCTGACATACTGGTACTTGCACTTGCATGTATATTGATTATATGAAGTCTTATGATGAGCACCTTAAATACATGTTAGATTTGTTGTGAGCACTTCCCAACATATCATTAGATCCCATTTGAATATTTGCTTCATATTTCTTGCAGACTACCTTGTCACAAAGTGTGGTGTACTCATGATGTCACTCTTTGTTTTCTTTACCACGACAATGTCAGTTTCATTTACATTGAGAGAGACCCAAACGCGCATGCTGAAGTTTACGGGTAGGTTCTCTTTTGTATATTTGATGCCACAAACTGCAGTGGTGTTTTTATATCGTGAAATTATAATGCCTTACACATCTGGATACTTCTCAATCATATTCTATTGATTAAATTACATGTCAACATGAAAACAAGAAAGGTGTGTCATGCTGTTGTCAAAGTATGAAGCACTCAACTTTCATATACAAATATTCTGTTGATCTTGTATTCTAAACAAGCTGTTTAATTGTTGATTCGTTGAGCCTCTACTGCTTGTTGTCTATATTTTGTTTGATGTTGCCTTCCTTTCCTTTCTTAGACATTTCTACTGTAAAAATATGTGCAGTGCAGCTACAGCATCATGCTCGGCACAGGCTTCCAACATTTCAATTGATCTTTGTGCATGTAATTGAGTCCCTTGTTTTTGTACCGGTAAGATTTCCCAGTTGATTCCATGTATGTTTTGTAGTCAGTGAATGTTGGTTATATATTCAAGGCCGTTCAGGTGTAACTTAGAGTTCGACGTGCAGATCATGATAGGCATCCTATTTTTTTTGTTCGAGTTCTATGATGATCAGCTGCTGGCTTTCATGGTGTTAATTTTTGTTTGGCTGTGCGAACTTTTCACATTAATCAGGTTTCTCTCTCTCTGTCTGTGTGTGTGTGTGTGTGTGTTTGTCACATGTGCTGTCATGCACATAGACATGGATTACTACTCTCTACTAGTTAAAAAATGACAAATTCAGATTGTACTTGGTAGCGACCCAAGTCATTTAACTTCCTGATAATCTGAAGTGCTAATGTTGCTTGACTGTCCTATGCAATACATGCTTTGGTCTTCCTCCTTTCATACTAGTATGATTTAAGTTTGGAACCTGAGAAACGTCTATAGCGGTGTACATCCTGATGGGTCCTATACATTTTTGGGTGATGATTGTCAGCTCTATATCTAGTTGATTGAAGGAAAACAATTTCAACACCTCTTTAAAGCTGCTTGAACTTTGAAGTCCCTATTCATACTGCCTGAGATTTTGCCTAATATTTGAAAATGATCTGGTGCTCCCTTAATAACAGCCACACATTTCCCGCTTGGAAGACCCCTTCAGCATTTTGTTAGTCTGCTGGAGTTAATGGCTAGTTTCTTGATCAGCAACTTCTGCCAATATTATGTATTGATCAGAAGAATAAACCTGTACTCTTGTATCTATCACTATTTGTGAGTATATTTTACATGATTATCTTTATTTCTTATTTCTAATGTTTATTTGCCAAGACAGAAGACGTTTGGTGGAGAAAAGAATTGTAGTCTGTTGTTCCCAAATTAGTGTGCCACATGATTGGCACCCAACTTGTAATACCCGTTGAGTAAACCCTGTTCTGTCTGATGGCTATTAAGAAACTAATCATAACAATAAAAACTAGTATGTAATCAATGGTTTGAAAAATTGAAATACAAACATAACGTTAAAACGTCTGAAAACTAATCCACTGATAAGTCATGAGCTTCTAAGGACTGCAATCTATATACAAAGCCTTCGGGGCATTCCCAGGAAATACATAGCGTCTTAAATAAATGGAACTCTTGGAACGGTCAGCTACTGCTGTGAACAAATCAACGGAGCCTGTCAATAAATTTAGAAAGTCTACCCCTAGCCACATGCTTCTTCACCTGCGCACTCAACACCTACCGTACAATGCGACAGGCCCAAACGGGTTAACTACCTCTGAAGGATACCAGTAAGTTCTGTTAACCCCCTGAGTGGAGGATAAGACTAGTCTGGACAAAGTATGTAATATAATGAAATGAGAAAAGTAAAGCAAGTAATCCACATAATAAATATTGTGAACCTGTGAGCTAAAATTGAATTTGAAAACTGAGTCTGAAACTAAATCTGAAAACTATTGAAACTAAAAACTATAATGGGAGCTGAAAAACTGGGCAACTTTTAAAGGAATAACTATTTTAAAACACTTATAGCGGTGAAGCCAAGCGAAGTGACCCTTTCTTGCTGAACTACCTAAAGCGACCTTGGAGAAGATAAGCGACCGCTTCAATTGGCAGAGCGTGAAGTGTGAAGCGCAGAAAAAAAATTCTCTTGTTTTAAACCTTTTAAGACTTTGATTTTAATTATAAATACAAGTTACGACATTACCTGGAGTCCTCGACATTTCAGAGCCTAGGGTTTTGACACAATTCTTTGCTTCTCGACTTCGTAGGAGATCAATCCTTCTTTCATTCTCTCTTCTGCTTCTCGACTTCAGCCTATGGTTTTTTTCTTCTCTTCTTTCCTCTGTTTTCTGCGCTTGTTTTCTTCTTTTTCTTCTTGCTCTGTTTTGCTGTTTCTCTACCCTGTTTTTCTCTTTCTTTTGCTGCTATTTTTTTTGGTTAATTATAGTAGCTGAGATTAAAAGTTTTTCAAATCCTCCAGTCTCAGTTAAAAAATTTTCAATTAAAGTAACTGAATTTCAATTCTATCCTAATAGTCCATTTCAATCGATTTATTTTAAAATATTGCAGTCGCGGAATTTCCATTCTTTTGCTCTTAAAGATTGTAAATGACGTCACAAGATCAAAAGAAAGACCCGACTTGGATGTATACTCAAAAAAGTTAGTGATACGAACAAGACGTATATTCAATGTTTTTATGTAACAAGATCACAAAAGGGGAATTTATCGTCACAAACATCATCTCATCGGATTTAATATCCACAACAAAATAAATTGTCTTGTCTTCCATCTCAACAAGCTAGTTAGTCTGTACTTTGAAAGGTTGGAACTGATAGATTCCGGCCGAACTTGAAAACCCCTCTTAAATTGTGGTACCACTGAAAAAGAAAGGTTGGGAAGTGCCATCCTCGGGGAAGGTGCCTAAGGGCATACAACCCTACTCTCCTCACCCCGGTCCCAGTACAAGTAGGAGTACAATTATTTTGCTATCTTAAATAGGTTCAGTTAAAAATGTGACTATCTCATCTAAAAGCTTAAACTGTTAGAGAGAGCACGCTTTTTTTTGAGAAAGATTAGAGAGAGCACACTTTTATTATTTATGATATTCTCAACATGTCTCCTCATGTGCAGATTTGATTCTTTTTCATGGGCCAAGCACGTGGAAATTCTTTTTAATTTTGGGTGGTGGTGAGATTCAATATCAGACAGATACCATGTTAAATTAGGTCTTGGGCTTAACTCACACCCCAAAAGCTAGCTCAAAGGGAGGAGGATTGCCCAAGCCTTATAAGGAGTCCACTCATCTCATTAACCATCAATGCGAGACTTTTTGCTTTTAACACCCTACCTCACGCCCAGTTTATCTTCTGATGCATGGGCAATTTTGGGTAATTTTTACCCACCTCACGCCCAATGCTTAGCATATGCGTGCGTGAGCAATTTTGATTTTTTTTGGGATCCAACATTGGCTGAGATGGGCCCTGCTCTGCTACCACGATGAAGTGTGTGACCATCTCATCTAAAAGCTTAAGCTGTTAGAGAGAGCACACTTTTGTTATTTAATGATATTCTCAACAATTTTATTTCTTGTTTACCTTTTTTTCTCTATTTTAACCACGTTGGTTATCTTTTGCAGCGTACGCACACCAATATCCATGAAGTACTTTCCACGCTTCTTTTTGCTTTACTTTCTGGTTTTCCACATCTACTTCTTTTCTTATAGTTATGGTATGTCCAAATTACTTAAGGTTCAGCTTTTGCTTACTTTTCCAGTGTTCCTTATCTGACAAACATGGTCTATCTTCTCAGGTTTTTCTTATCTAGCACTCTCGACAACAGCTGCATTTATGCAACATCTTATTTTATACTTCTGGAACCGTTTTGAGGTAGAATGCAACTTTTGATATTTTTAGCAGTTAGAGATTCTTTTTGTTTTAGGGGCTTTGAGAAATTAAACATGTTTAGACACTAGAAAACCTTATATTATTTCTGTTTAGTGGGTGTGAATATATCTTCCCTGGCTTTACAGTAACAGTTCATCTGAAAGATGTGTTACCGGTGTTCTATTATACTCCGTCGATCCTGTACAGCCATGTCCAGGAGTTGCTAGTGTGCTGGGAAACAGAGGAGAAAAAACAATGATTTCTTAAGCATTTTGAGCACATCTTTGTTATTTCTCCCCATGGAGAGAATGTTGAATCAAAGTTTATGTCTTTAGGAATGAATTCAACTGACAGAAACGCTAGAGGAATAACTAATTGAAGTTAGATTACACATACAGTTCCTCTCGACTTAAACGCCTAATAACTTTCTGACTGTTCTCAAATTGACTATGATATTTCAGATTGATAATGACAACATCATGCTGATAAAATCATGCTTGAATGTATTTTCTTTGAGTATTCCATGCTTGATCTATATTTAGCTGACTAGATGACTGCCTCAGCAAATCTTAACACTCCTTGAATTAGGTTTACAACTGATTGATCCCGAGCGTATTTGCTTAAACTTGATCTCTGTTCAAATTCCTAGCTTTATTTCAGATTAGATGGGAGTTCATCTACGTATGTAAATACATATTTTAAAAGGAAAATAATTTCCTTGTTTTTGCAACCTAAATACATTTTGGGATCTGTCCATGTATGTTTGTTGTTCAGGTTCCAGCTTTGCAGAGATTTATGCAAAGCAGACGATCACATTTTCAGCAGCATCCTGACTTTCATATCACCTCCTCTACGATTCTTGCATCAACTTTGCACATTACAAGATTAAATGGAAGGGGTCCTGCTCCAACTAATGTTGATTTGGCTCCTGGTCCTGGGCCTAGAACTGATCCGTCACTGCCAAGAAATGGTGCCAATGAATTTCCGGTAGTTGCAGATGGACAAGGTAATGGAAACCAAGATGAGTTTGGTAATTCTCTTCAACTTGGAGGGCAAGTGGATACCCGCCAGTCTGAAGGTGGAGCTAACCCGGGGTCTATGAATTCATTCAGCTCCTTGCTGCTGTGGATATTAGGGGGTGCTTCTTCTGAAGGTCTAAACTCCTTTCTCTCTATATTTCGAGATGTACGAGAGCATGGTCAAGTTTTTGCTGGACAAGAAACTCATGCCACCCAAAATCCTGAATAGATGCAGATGGTAGCTGAAATGTTGGCAGCATAAGCACAAGGGAGAAGTATTTCGAAAACACTGTTTATCCATGAGAATGGTGAAATAAGGCTAAGGACTGAGGCTGTCATTGTCTGGACAGATATGTAGAAGTTGTAGAGATTTCTGTAGTTGATGAATCGCTAAAAACTTATTATTATTTGGTTTACTTAATCTTATGTACATATGAATTGAAGTAAAATGTGCAAACCTTCTTGTTGCTCCCCAATATACACGCAAGTATACATGATCGCTCAAGTAATATAGATTCTTAAAGAAACGAGTTATCATTTTCAAGGGACTTGTGATTAACTTATATTCAACACTTAACTCCACAAATAAAATAGAAGTAACCGTTTCAGAGATGGTGATGATTGTTAACTACTACTAATTATCAACTAAATAAATGTAACTAAAGGTGAATGACTTTAAGATGATGTTTCAAGCAAGTAAAAGACAATTCCAAGGCTGCAACATGCAATGAATCTCATGTATCATATTATTGGCTTAGAACTAATTTTAGTCGTCAAGTTACTGATTTATAGGGTTAATTGTATGAGTCGGGTTCACACCTCTAGTCGCCTACCCCAGTTAGCTATCTAACTACATCGTTGAGCGGGGATAAATAGACTAATTGATGAGCATTTATATTTCATCCTATTTCGTAACCAAGCGAGTTGTTCGTTCGAGCGTCACTCCTGAACACAAATCACCTCAACTTAATAGGTCGATCAAGCTCTCTATATTCTCTGGTCTATCTAACATCTCCTCTCCCGATTCAAGTTTAGACAATATATTTATCTTATGGTGATCAATCATAAAATACTAAAACAAGAACGTAGAAGTAACTTATAATGACAACCAAGAATTAATTCAGCAGGCCTTTAATAGTCAACAATCTATTCGTAGCTATAGCTCCATAACTAAGACGTTTAGCCACTCATGCTATTAGAAAATAACAAAATACAATTGTTCATGCGATTTCCGAAAAATAGAAGAGTTAAAAGATCAAAACCTATTACAAACGTGAATACTTATTCTTGCACACCCAATAAAAGTCGAACCCTAATTATGGATCCCTAAGGGTCTATTTATAATGGTAGAAAAATTAGAGCCAAAGTCTAATACAATTAGGAATCCTTTTTTTAACACTTTTAAGCTGGAAAAATCGGGATCCTGCTAGAGTGTCGTGCCTAGCATCGCGCCCAAACTTCACCTCTGAGGTTTCCACCCTAGTGCGTCGCGCCTCTCAAAGCGCTTGAGAAAGGCCCCAGAATGTTGGGCCTTGGCGCGTCGCGCCTCTCAGATCGCCTGAGAGGCCTCTCTGAATGTTGGCCTTTGGTGCCTCGCGCCTAGCAGTGCGCCTGGCCCTGGGGCCTTCAGCCTTAGCTTCTTTTCAACATATCCTTGCATCTTTTCTTTCAATTTGACTCCAATCTCCTTAGAGTTCCCGAAACCTCTAATCACATGTTTTAGTGCATAATATCGCAAGTATAACGAAATCAAGCTAATAGACTCAAGATCATTCGTTACTTCAATCAATTCATGGGCAAATATTGATAACTTAGGCATATAAATACGCCTAAGATCACCACCTCACACTTAGACTTTTGTTTGTACTCAAACAATCTTTAGACTATCAAATTTTTTTCACAATCCTTGGACTTGTCAAGCCACCTTAAAATCAACCAAACATTTTTAATCATGATCTTGTAGTTCACAATGGATGCAACATTTCACAACATTTACACCAAGTTGCAACACATACTCAAAGAATGACTCTTTTAATATTTTTCCGGGCTAATGCAAACTCATACAAACACATCAATTAGATAATCCTACACATTCCATGAATGCCCTCACTTGCTTTTAGTAAAGCCTTTCACTCAAGCACTCACAATATCACAAGGCCTATTTTTCAAACAATCAACTCACTCTCATAAAAGAAGTTCTTACTTTTCTCAACATACCATAAGCTTGCCAATAGTGTATTCTTACCTTCACATTACAATTCTCAAGAAATCAAGAGGACTTTCATTTGGTTGTAATGTCGGCTTAGGGTAAGGAAGGGAATATTTAGGAACTATTTTAGTGACTACACCTCCCTAATGCACATGTCATTATTTTGCCAACAATCTCCTTCATAGTTTTTCTTTTCTCCTAGTACACACTTCATGAATATTTACCCCTCTTTGTTGCTCCATCTTTGCCCTCTATATTATTTATTTATATATATATATATATATATATATTTTCATGTCTTTGCATTAGCCACCCTCACTTTAGATTTTAAGGTCCAAGTAAGGTACACATTATCCTTGATAGGACCAGGGCCAATGTTTCGAGCATAGTTCTGAAATAGCCACCCTCAATTGAGTTGAGGTGCACTTTGTCACTTAGGACCAGGGCCAGAACATAATTTTTAAATATCCTTTTCTTTTCCACACAATGTAGCATTTCACCCTTTATTATATCAACCCACAATTTTCAACCCTTCTTCTTAACATAGTGCATTAAAGATTTTATTAGGATCAAAAGACTTGGTATCAAACAAACGGGTTTCGGCTTATCATGTGGCTTATCAATAAACAAGGCCAAAGGTTCAATAGGGCTTCACTAGGGATAATTTCAATGGTAGGCATACAAGTAGAGTCAAGAATTGATTAATTCAAAGAAACGCCTCTATCACATTCCCTAAGTCATACAAGCTACTAATTCAATCACACACAAGGCAAGTTCTAGATATCAAGTTAAGCAAGAACCAATCAACTCTCACCACACATGGCATCATGACACATATACAGACATACCAACTAACATGCTCATACAACTTGCATTACAATATCACTACACAATTAAGCCCATTTATTTTATTTTATTTTGAGTCAAACTAAGAACATATGCTTATTACAAGGTTAACATTCTATTTCACTTTTCCAATTGTGACTACCCATGACGTTTGGCTAGCTTTTTCGGACATAGTTTCAAAAGACCAAGGTTGGTTTCTCAATCCTACTCTTCTATGTGACTAATTTTCCCTTAAGACGGTCGTTATCCATCCATCATTAGGAACTATCACTCCTATGATGACTCTAAGACTCAATAAAGCAGTAAACTAGTCCTAGTCGGTTCACATGGACAATCCTCAGTAAAAGTACCGAAAACAAATGTTGAGGAACCCAAAATTAAAAATTAAAAATTCAACTAAAACTAACACTAGACTCGATAAAGCAGTAAACATCTATATACAACAGAGACGTATTACCCCACCCCACACTTAAAAATAAGCATTGTCCTCAATGCACAATTTAAAGCAAAGTATAGAGTTAAGAATACTCCCTCAGGCCTCGTTGTCACCGCCATCCAACACCATTAAGGCATTCACCTCCTCATTATTAGCATCATCTTCCTCATCATCCATCACCTCATCAGCAGTAGCCTCATCATCATCTAGAGGCTCCAAAACTGCGGGACTAGTCTTGCATAAGGACGCTGCACTCTCGGTCAAAGGGTATCGATCCGCCAGGTTTTCCATTTCCTCATCTGTAAACAGACGTCCTCCTATTCACAGCTGCAGCTCTGCCATACCGAACATTCTTGCCATGACACTGTCATCACGGGCTTGCCTCTCTTGGGAAGACAAGACAGGTCCATGAGACGTGTCTATTGCCTTTGTTCCAGTCACATCAACTAGCTTAGCCGTTAGATCTAGGTGAAAAGCAGTAGTCAGGTCCACAACCTCTTTCTCAATACCCCGGTCCCTCAGAAACCGGGTGATCAAACCCCCATAGCAAAGACGCCACCTCATATTATTCCAAAATTTCATCATGTTATGTCTAAGAATCGCCCCTATATTAATGGGCATCCCCTTCATCAGCATATAAACCAACACCACCCTATCCTTGTTACCTCTGTCATATGTTTCGCGGGTAGTAGCACACTACACACTATCTTTAACCACACCCTAGCAACTTGATTGAAATTAGTAAAATAGAGGGTATTATGCCTCCCAATATCCTTGCTATGCTCCCACCTAGCCGTGGACTCTACCCCACATAAAGTATGTCGAATATCCCTATAAGGAGGTTTATCCTTCAATGTATTAAAGTCATCAGAATCACAATTCGGGGTCCCCAAAAGTTTATTTAGTATCGTAGCATTGAACTTCACATCCTTACCTCTAATAGGAACAATTTTATACTTAGTTTTAGTGAGCCAATTTGCATAAAACTCACGAACTAAAGACAAATTAGAATCTCCCGGATGATAAAAAATAAATCTCAGCCCCAACTCAAGCACAATCCGTGCAACCTTACCTCATGGACGTACTTGTCGCCCATATACTTCGGTTCGCGTTGACACTCAAACCATTCCCAACCATACCTCTCCATCGCCTTTTTTCCAAATTTTTGAACTGGTTCCCAATTTCTGGACCCAGATTTTGAAAAAATCTGGGAGGGGGCGTGCTAGGGGCGTGATGCACCATGGCCGCACCTAAAACATGCCCCAAAATGTTTGCCTTTGGCACGACGCGCCAACCAGAATGCCAGCCTGCAAAAGGCAGGAGCGATGGAGAGGCGACGCGCCATGGATGAGCCCAAAAACCGTCCCTAAATGCCGCCCCTGGCTTCAGTGATTTGATTTTTATTTTTATTTTCATTTTTCACTATTACACGCTAAGTTACAAATAATGAAAAATCCTATCTAGCTAAAACTAATAATTAAAAGTAATTCCTAGATTCTAAGAATTGAAACTACGATAAAACAAAAATTCAAAATTCAAAAATGACTACATAGCTATTGCATATTGTTCATAGGTTGCCTCCCATGTAGCGCTTGATTTAACGTTGCGGCACGACGCAACTTGGATCATTCATCATTTAGCTTAAGAGCCTCCTGATCACGATCCGAATCTACACCAAAGTAGTGTTTTACCCTTTGCCCATTTACCAAGAACGTAGGGCCAATCTCATATTTAGTTCAACAGTCCCATGTTGTGTCATTCTTACCGCTTCGAAAGGACCATTCCATTTAGATTTATGTTTTTCGGGGAATAACCTCCATCTAGAGTTAAAGAGTAGTACTTTTTCTCCAGGAGTGAAAGTACGAGTAACTATGTGCTTGTCATGCCATCTTTTCGTCTTTTCTTTGTAAAGCTTGACATTCTCATACGC